GTGACCTGCGAAGATGCCTACGATCAAGCGTTGGACTACCTATACAAAAGGCTCGACGAGGGTTCCTCGTTTCCGGACACTGTTCCAGCCAACGTAAGTCGGTCACTCGACTTTCCGTCTCACTCAGCGCTAAATCTGCCGAAAGTCACCTTACCAACGTTCGACGGATCTTACGGAAAATGGGAGAGCTTCCGCGATCATTTTTATTCTATGATTATATATCGGTGAAACCAGTTTGTCGAATGTGCAGCAATTGCATCATTTGTTTTCATGTCTGAAAGGTGAAGCAAGCGCCGCTATAGAACTCTTAGCGTTAACTTCCGAGAACTTTGCCGTCGCGTGGCAGATTCTTTCGTCCCGCTACGAAAACCGACATCAATTGATCGGTACGCACCTTAATAAACTGTTTTCCTTGCCTGCAGTAAACGCAAAGTCCGCTCAAGAATTGCGCGCGTTAAGAGATCGAGTGAATGCCACGATTGCCGCGTTGAAGAATTTGGCGCGTCCGGTTGAACAGTGGAGCGACATTCTCGTGTTTCTTATCACGCAAAAGCTCGATACATCATCGCGAGAAGCATGAGAGATCAAACTTGTCCATAGTGTCGACTATCCGACTTATACCAACCTCGATGCGTTCCTCGAGTCCCGCGTCCGCGCTCTCGATTCAATATTGCCGTTCGCCGCGGATAAAGCGAACGACCCTGCGGCGAAAACAAAAGCGAAGTCCAAAGCGATCGCCTCGCATACCGCTAGCGCCTCAAAATTGTCGTGCCCTGTGTGCTCCGAGCAACATCTTTTCTACCAATGTAATGAGTTTGTAAATAAAACGCCAGTTCAACGATATGAGTTAGTTCGAAAATTCAAGCGCTGTCTAAACTGCTTTAGTTCGAAACACCAAGCGAAGGAATGTACGAGTTCCCGGTCGTGCAAAACGTGCCAGAAGAGGCACCACACCTTGCTACTCTTCCCTGATAGCTTGAAACAATCCGACGAGAACGCGTCCTCGTCAAGTCCGCAAGTTGAATCTGCCAGCGCCGACGTCGCTTCTCACCTCGTCGCCGGGACCATCGCGCCTCGCCGGCAAATATTCCTCGCCACCGCACAAATTAGGGTCTACTCCGGTCACGGTCGATTTCAAAACGTTCGCGCTCTCCTCGACCAAGGGTCTGCGGCGTCGTTCATGACTGAAAACTTAGCTCAGACTCTCCGCGTTCAAAAGGCTCGCGCGTCCGTTAATGTAACTGGCATTGGAGATACGCGTACCTCCGTTCGACATACCGCTTTAATAACGATAACTCCGAGTCATTCCGATACCCCTGTCTATCTGACTCACGCCTTAATTTTAAAATCGCTTACACGATACGCGCCGAATAAGCTGAATTGTCAGAATCAATGGCCACATTTGAAAGGCCTTCACTTAGCCGATCGCGATCCCGCTTCATCGGCGCCCGTTGACATCATCATCAGAGCCGACCTGTTCGGCTCACTACTGCTCGAGGGTGTCCGTAAAGGTACCGCGGACGAGCCCATAGCGCAACACACAGTGCTCGGGTGGATCATTTCCGGGCCAACAGGACAGGCGCGACGCGACCATCCGATTGAAGCGCATCACGTTTCCGTGGATGACGATCTCGACCTAAACCTTCGGCGATTTTGGGAGGTGGAGGAAATTCCCCACCAGGTTAACCCCCGAGGAACAAGCCTGTGAAGAACATTTTGTACGCACGCATTATTGAAATCCGGACGGCCGTTACGTCGCGGACTTCCGTTTCGAAACGGGCCTCCAATCTCTATCGGAGAATCTCAAAACACCGCCAGTCAAAGCTACCTTCGTACGGAGGCTCGTCTTAAACGCGAACCGTCGAACGCTGCCGAGTACCACGCGTTCTTAAAGGAGTACGCTGATCTCGGTCACATGCGACGCGTTGCCGATCATAAGAAATCCGAAGTTCCGTCGCAGATCCTGTTTATTCCGCATCACGCCGTGTTCCGAGAAAGCAGCGCCACAACCCGAATTCGCGTTGTATTTAATGCGTCCAGCCGAACCTCCAACGGCACGTCTCTTAACGACCACCTCCTCGTTGGTCCGAAACTCCAAACCGATCTCGCCGCCATTCTTCTGCAATGGCGCCTTTTCCGGTACGTTTATTCCGCTGACGTAGCAAAAATGTACCGGCAGGTTCGAGTAGACTCTCGCGACTGCCACTATCAGCGGATAATCTGGCGGCCCGATCCTGCCGGCCCTCTAGGAGAATTTATATTGTGTACAATTATGTATGGCACGGCCTCCGCCCCGTTTTTAGCTATAAGGTCCACGCTTCAGCTCGCAATCGACCACGGGGCCTCCTACCCGCTTGCCGTACCTGTGCTAACACGTAAAAGATATATTGACGATTATACTTTCGGCGCCGATGACAAAATCCTCGCTCGTCAAACCCGCGAACAAGTAGTGGCTCTCCTGGACAAAGGAGGGTTCACTCTCCGCAAGTGGGCCAGCAATTTGCCCGAACTTCTCAACGACATCGACCCGCACGACCACGGCCTCGCCCTAAGTCGAGACATACGCGAAGACGAAAGGTTACAAATCCTCGGCCAAACCTAACAGCTCGAACGCGACGTTTTTCAATTTAAAGTAAAACAGTCAGCCACTCCGGCAGAAACGAAAAGAGAGATCCTATCGGACATCGCAAAACTATTTAATCCGCTCGGTTGGGCCGCCCTCGTCGTCGTTTGGGCAAAGATTCTAATGCTGCAGCAACTGTGGGCGGCAAGATGCTCTTGGGATGAACCCATTCCAGTCGAACTTCTCGAGATGTGGCGATACTATCACCGACAACTCCCGGAAATTGAGAACGTATCTATCCCACGTTGGACTCAGAGCGGTCATCACTCGCTCCATCAAGAGCTGCATGGATTCTCCGACGCGTCAACCAAGGCGTATGCCGCCGTAGTCTACCTTCGAGTCATCGCTGTGGACGGTACCATCACAGTCACCCTGCTGGCGGCCAAATCCAAGGTCGCTCCGATCAAGACGATGACTGTCCCGCGACTCGAACTCTCGGCTGCTCTATTGCTCGCCAGACTCCTGCATTTTATTTGCACATCGCTCGATCTAGACGCAAAAACCACACCAATTCACTGTCGGACTGACTCCCGCATCACCTTAGCGTGGCTGAGTCGCGCTCCAGCCTATTGGAAAACCTTTGTGGCCAATCGGGTCGCGGAGATTAAAACGTTGCTCCCCAATGCAATCTGGCATCACGTTTCCACGAACAAAAATCCGGCGGACTGCGTGTCGCGCGGAATATCTCCCGAGGAGCTCGCGTCAAATACCCTGTGGTGGTCGGGCCCCTCCTGGCTCGCCAAACCAGAAGAGCACTGGCCGACGAGCGACCAACATCTACCACCCGTTACCGCTCTCGAGGAACGGTCACGTCACGCGGTAGTTCACACGACGACAGCTGTAAACTCCTGGGATTTATCGCAACGCTACTCTTTGTGGTCAAAATTGTTGCGGGTCACGGCTTACATTCTACGATTTGTCACGCGCATCCGAACTCGGCAACCGGCCGCACGCGCAGTTTCCCCATTGACGACCCGAGCCGATAGCCTAACTTCAATCGAGATGAATGCATCAGAAGTCTTTTGGTTGCGGTCAATTCAAAACGACGCGTTTCCGATTGAATTGACGTCTCTATCGAAAGCGACTCGCGTTCCAAATTCTAGCTCTCTCCTCCCCCTCAATCCGTTTCTCGATGAGCAGCAGCTTCTTCGAGTCGGCGGCCGACTCCGCCACGCGGACATCGCTGAACAAGTCCGTCACCCGATTATTCTCAAAGATCACCCCTTAGTCCGAGTGATCATTCGCGACACTCATCTGCGAGCGATCCACGCCGGCTCTCAATTGACATTGTCATTGCTTCGCGAAAAATATTGGATCTTGCGCGCGCGATCGCTCGTCCGTGCTGTATTATATAAGTGCGTCGTTTGTACCCGCGAAAGAGCGACCGTCCCGAGCGAGCTGATGGGCGACCTTCCACGAGTCCGAGTAACTCGCTCCGTCCGCGCGTTTGCTCACGTTGGAGTCGACTACGCTGGTCCCGTTCTCGTCCGGACCACTAAAGGTCGCGGCCATAAAGCCAATAAGGCGTACATCTCGGTGTTCATTTGTATGACCACCAAGGCGATCCACCTTGAGCTCGTCAGCGACTATTCAACCAGCGCTTTCTTCGCGGCCTTCTCCCGTTTTGGTTCCCGCTGCGGATTTCCAACGTCCATCTATTCCGATAACGGGACGACTTTCCAGGGTGCCGATCGCGAGCTGCGACTCGCCGCTCAAACCGCCACTGAAGATCCAAACTTCCTAAATCACCTGGCTTCCGAGGGCGGAACCTGGCATTTCCTACCGCCCTCCGCTCCGCATTTCAGGGGGTTATGCCGTCCGCAGCGTGAAATATCATCTAAAACGTTGCATTGGATCCTACACGCTCACTTTCGAGGAGCTTACCACCGTCCTCTGTCGCATTGAAGCCTGTTTGAATT